TCCTCGGTTGAGCAAAACAGGGGACATTTCTGAGGTCCCCTTGCAGAAGGTGGCATCATCAGAACAATTGAGATTGGAAACAAGAATTCCATTCCATTCCATTCCAATCTCCTCGTTTCTTCATGTCCACTGCATTTCTACAGTGGGGAGACAAAATGCAGACTGGGCGACCACTTTGCAGAACACCTATGGTCTGTCCATAAAATGACTCTGAGCTTCCAGCTGCCTGCAACTTCAACACACCACCATTTCCCTGGTCAACATTGCTGTCTCAGGCTTGCTGCAGTGCTCCAGCACAGCTCAGCATAAGCTGGAAGAACAGCACCTCATTTTCCACTTGGGAACCCTGCAGTCTTCTGGACTCAATAACGAGTTCAATAATTTTAGAGCCTGAATGCCTTTTTCCATGTCCTTTACCCACGCCCACACCCCAGACCCTGTCATCACGTGGGCTGCTTTCAGCACAGCCAACAAATTTTCACCCACTTAACATCTCTATTGTCAATATTTCTTTCTCCCTGGCTTATTCTCAACCATTCATTTGTCTTCTACACATTGTCTCTCTCTCTCTCTTTCTAGACTCTACTCTCTGCCTATCCACTCACTCCTTTCCCCCCCTGTCCTCTGTCTCCTGCATATATACCACATTTCCCTAGCTAAATCAGTTCTGAGGAAGGGGCACTGAACACAGAATGTTGACTCTCACTTTCTCTCCACAGATGTTGCCAAACCTGCTATGTTTCTCCACAAATTGCTGTTTTTGTTTGAGATTTGGAGATCACCCATGTGTGAAATCAAAGGGAAAACCCAATCAATTTGCGTTCAATGATTTCAACTAAGCTTAAAATGTTTCATTTTCACATCCCCTATATTTCATTTCCAAGACATTGGTGGGTACTGGTTTTCTGTCAAACATCAGGAACAAGAGTCCCAACTCGAAATGTCAACTTTTCTGCTCCTCTGATGCTGCCCAGCCTGCTGTGTTCCTCCAGCTCCACACTGTGTTATGTCTGACTCCAGCATCGGCAGTTCTTACTATCACCTCTTACATGAATTGTTCATTTTTTTGTGTGATTTGTGCTCACCAGTTTTGTTGGAGGTCAGCAGTATGCAAATGTTGTGCTTCTGTCTTTCTAAAATAATTACAAGGTCAGTTGGGTTTCTTGCTGCCAGAAACGTTTGCACTCAGCATGGGGCCTAAGAGCAGACAGCATGTGATGTAGCCAGTCTCCTCTTCCTAAAGACAGTCTGTCCCTGTTGAAGTAAATCTGAACTGAACAATATTGTTGGTATTCAAATCGTACAAAGAGGTTTGCCAAAACAAAAGGAGGGCTTCAGGGTGATAGAGGCAAAAGTGATAAGGCGGTTAGTTGGAGAAATGTCAAGAAGGAAAAATGACCTTCAGAAGAAGGCAGGTGGCAGGGGAGACCACTTCTCAAAATTCAGAGCTGACACTTGGCTACAAGAAGTTCAACAGCCTCTAAGTGAATACATTATTAGTGGACATTCATTTTCCATTGTGCAACTACATTCTCAATCCATCTGTCAATCACTAACCTAAACAGCATCCCCAAGCGATGGGATGTCCCACTGAGATCTCGGGTCCATTAGCTGATCTACCATGTCAAGTAATGAGATAGTGAAGTGCATGGTGATGTTACAGTGATATCAACAGTGATATGCAAGAATCTGAGAAGCAAATAGTCTGGCCGAGAACATGAGTACCAAAAAGTAGGAAAGCACTATAGCGAAAATAAAAGGAAGTAGGTTAGAAACAAACTGAGTTGGAGAAAACAAGGTGTAGAGCTGGATGAACACAGCAGGCCAAGCAGCATCAGA